ACATGGTTCAACTTACGATTCTAGAAGCAAATTTGAATGATATTATAGTTAAAATGAGAACTGGAATTTTTTTAATAGTACATAACTGTTCTAAGTGATTAAATTTTAAAGCAGACATTTGAATTCCTTAAATATTTGCAGGCACTTAAAATCCACAGTAATTATCCTTTTCTTATTGATGTAATTACATTAAATATTCATTAGCATGTTTTCAGAATTAATTTTAGAACGTTAAGTCACTTATAAACTTTAAAATGTTGTTTTAAAATGTCCCCATTAAAATATTATCTCGCAATAAGAAAATAAATAAAGTACAAATGATTTCGCCGCCAAATCAAATTTTATTTAAAGAGAAAACATTTTCTGTGTCACAGTCTCTCTCTTAATTTTAATTATTTTTCCGTTAAAGAAATTCATCTAGAGATTGGAAATTGCATTCTCTGAAGTTAAAATAAATGGCAAAATTTATGGGGGAATTATTTGTAAAACGAATGAACCAGTAAGGAATAAAATCTTACAAGATTAATAGGGTGAAATTATTATTTCCACCGCAATTATTCTCTTTACTGAAATGTGGAAAATTCTTCGAAAAACAGTTAAAAGCAAACGATTCTGAGAGTTGAAGTATGAGTTATTAATTTTTTTTTTTTTAAGATCCTCGACAATTCCATGTCATCGGCATCCAATTAAAATGAGAATCGCCCAAATGTTGCGCATAAATAATCGAATGTGTTATGTATTGGAAGATCGTTAGTAACTTTTCATATTTTTACCCACGAGATACCAATAGTGCCAATAAAAATAAAAGTTTTCTAGGCAGTAATAATAATAATCGCAGATGTTTACAATAATTGAGATAATAAAGACTGGCGAGTAACGAAAAAAGAAAACATTTTTCCGGAAAGGAAAATTTTGCTTGATTTGAAAACGATAATTGGAAGTTTCCCTAGTGAGGAATACAGTTGAATGAAGTTATCCTTTTAGAAATGAAAATTATCATTAGTTTACTAATTTCCTTATGCTTAGGTTTTTTTTTAAAAAAAATATTCTATAAAAAAATTTATTTTGTAAAATATTAGATTACTAACTAGTTCTTTCAAATAATGCTGATAATATTTTTTTAAAAATATTATTTTTTTTTGGGGGGGGGGGGNTTTTTTTTTGGGGGGGGGGGGTATAGTGAGTTAACAGAGAATAGTAGTATCCTATTCAAGCTTAGTCGGGAATGACTTTTTTTTTAACTTAAATTTTATTCATGAACTATTAAAATTTTTTTTTTACCGATAAATGACATTTTTACTACAAGAGAACTAATAAAAGGACAATGCTTATTTGATAAAAAATGCTTTAAAGTAAATATTGCTTACGAAAAAATAAAATTAAAAAAAAAACAGAAAACTGTATGCTAAAATATATAAATCTTCATATTTTGCAGGAAACTTGAGGATAGTTTTAACCAAATAAAGTTTTTCTTTTTTAAAATAAAAATACAGAAAATATAGGGGAGAGAAGCAAGTGGAAATTATTATTTTTCAAAAAAGAATATTTAATATAATTTTTAACTCATGAAGCATTTTTTTAACAATAATTTGAAAGATTACCTGAATTTTCGCTTGTATCTGGATTAGCAAAAATGTTTATTTTTTTCACAATAAATATTTCAAAAATGGTGTTTTTGTTCACACTAGCAGCACTACACGGGAATAATGTGGACAAGCTATGCGGCTAGTATGGATAAGCCGTAGAGTTTCAATTATAAATAGTCATTTATTCAACTCTCTAAAAGGTATATTTAAATCCGAAAGGAAATCAATTTCAAACTAAGCCTTATGGGAGAATAAATATTGGCCTACTTTGATTAAAATACTAATTTGTAAGGAAGTATTTCCCTATACTAAAAAGCACATTTTGAAAGCAAATCATAAAAAAACCATTGTTTAATTTGATTTATTTGAAAGCACAAAATCAATTTTAAGTTGAATCTATTTTAATAACCATAGTTTTAACTTGAAGAAATGGTCCAAATAGACAAGATATGGAGTGCATGGTTGCATGGTTCAGCGATACCTCACTGATTAAAAAAAAAAAAAAAAACTCTCAAATCAGATGAACTAATGCTTGAATTTATCAATATTGAACTATATTCTTTTAACAAACATCATTAAATATCTCCTTTTAATTTTCTTAAAACTTTAAAAAGTGAATTAATGAAAGGGTTTTATGCTAAACTTTTTATTTGACATTGAAAAGGTATTTGATATTGTAAGGGTATATTATTCTACCAAATTATTTTAATTTAGAAAATAAATAACATCAAATGATTCATCAAATGAAAATAAATAACATCAATTCATATTTTTCTCACTGAAAGTTTGGATTGGATCAGTGTGGGTATGTCCACATTAATCCCACACTTGTCTTTGTGGGGCTAGTCAACACTAGTCCCATGAAAACATGCGTTTGTTTCTGCCTAATGTTGGCTTAGTAAAAATATAAAAAGAAAGAATTAACATCAAAATAGATAAAAAAATACTCTATAATTTATATCATGTTGTTACCTTTTGTTGAAATTCTGAAAATACAATATGGTAATAGAAGAATAAAGAGCAAATTTAAAACTTGCTCGTTTGAACTTTAAAAACCTTCCTCTAACAAGTTTCTACTTAAGTAATCTCTGTCTGATTATGCAACTGCAAATGGAAATGTACATACACCAATGATAAAAATCTACGATATCTCAAATAGGAAATTTGACTTATAAATAAAAATGATGTTCAAGATGTACAATGAGCCAAATAATTATAATAAAAAAAAGATTACCCTGAAAAACTTTTGATCAGATTTTCCCGTTCTGAGACTCGATGGTTCGAGAGGATGACCTCAAATATGTTAATTAATAAGTGCATACGATATTTTAAGTTACGAAATCTGACACAAAAACGAACTTTCTAACGAACGATTCATGATCCCCAAAATATAGCGAGTAGCCGTAATCTGGGAAATAGGGTCCCAATAGTTTGGCCAAGAAAGCGTTCCAAACTTTTGGACCCCTTAATGTTAATTTTACTTTTTGCATATTCTGCTATATCTCGAAAGTTTTTTAAGAGAATTAAAAAAATTTTGAACTTAATTATAAAATTCGTTTATCCAAACATAATTCCGTGCAAAAAATAACTTAGCAAATATTTATTATTTTAATTAAGAATGGTCGACGAACTTTTGAATTGTAAGCTAAATTTTTAAAAAATAATTTTAACGAATGTAATTTTTCATGACAAAATACTAAATGTGAGTGAAATCGGTCGAATAGTCCCTGAGAAATCAAATTTTCAAAAGATGACCTTTTCAAACACACTATATTTTGGGGGTTAGAAATCCAAATTCGTCGGAAAAAAGGTATGTTTAATATGAGAGCTTTTATGCCTAATTTCGAAACTTAAAATATCGCCTGAACTTGTTAATTAACATATTTCAGGTCACCCTCTCGAGCCATTAAGATAAAGTCTAAAATAAAAAGGGTAATCCGGTTTTTTTTAAAAATTTTTTATTATTTTTTTTAAAATTTTTATTTGGCTCATTGCACATCTTGAATATCTTTTTTTATTTATCTTGAACATCTTTTTTATTTTTATTTTTATCATTAGATCTTAAGTTTTCGAGGGTGGTCCGTTTTTTTTTTGACGCACTGTAAACTCTAGCCCTATGTCAACACTAGCCCATCTCTACCCTACATACTGAAAGTATATTTTAGAGCTGAAATAAATAAATAAACTATATACCAGTCTTCCTCATTCCATTTTTAATATGATTAAGTTATATTAATTTAATTGACGTGTTTGCTGTTTTCTGTGCTAAATATTTATGATCAATGACAATTATATATTTTGATTTAGGTTCAGTAGATTGAGTTCTTTATTTTTCATGGAATAGCAATAAAAAAGAATCCTTGTACACTCACGCATGGCGGGGAAATCTAAAATGAGGAAGCTGAAAGCTGTGCCCGCGTTTTTACTAGCAACACAGTTTATAAAATCGAAACAACTTTTTCAATTTTACTCAGGAGTCCAATTTATGTTATACCTCGTACAGTGTGATTTAAATTCACGAATGAAATAATTTTAAAGGAAACTTTTGTTTATAATTATACATTGGGATTTATTTTATGGATGCAATAAGTATTCAGAGTAGAGTAGTACATAGGGCAGTAGCGGATAGCATATCGAGTGAATGACCTTACCGTTTTTTCTGGCTCCTACGCACTCTTTTGTCAAAATAATCACTAAACTTGAGTGAACGTGGCTTTATTTTGTCGATACAGTGATCGATTTTATCCTAAAGGCTTGGATATTTGTAGGTTTATTGACATACGGTTTAGAGCACTAATGATGTTTCTTCATATGTTCTTCAATTTTTTGACGCTTTGAAATGTCAGCTGTCCAATCGTTTTTGTAGGCAACCTTTTATTGACTAAATAAGGAAAAATTCAAAACCTGCATGAATATCGAGGACATCCTTTATAAACAGCATAATGTTTATTGAATCAGTCGGAGTTTTAAGCTCTTCTGTTTATGTAGCATGGTAGTTAAAAGAGGAAAAAACTACCAAGGAGGTCAAAATTGCGTACATTTTCCAGCTTCGGCTTTAAAAGATTGAGAGCTGTAGAAAAGATCTGGTTTATGTCATTATAGGATGTGAATTGGTACAGAAAAGTTACCTTTAATTTGAATCCGTATTTCAACACACTCGATATATTAAAGTCTGGCATCTTAAATATTTCTAATCAATTAATTCTAATTAACCGAAGAGTTCAAAATTGCGTAGATTTTCCAGTTTCGGCTTTAAAAGATTGAGGGCTGTAGAAATGATTGTGCTTAGGGCATCATAGAATGTGCATTAGTGCAGAAAAATTACCTTTAATTTGAAACCGTGTTTCAACACATTCAATATATTAAAGTCTGTCGCTTTAAATGTTTCTAATCAATTCATTTTTATACATTTACCTCTGGAAGTGGCTTCAGAATCAACTTTAACATCCATGCTTTGGCCTCGACGAGTCACATGAAGTGTGTGCCATTGATCATCATTTAATCCTTGGCCTACAAAGAATACCTGAAACGAAGAAAATCTTTCATTTTTTTAACGTAATAAAATATTTTTTAAAGTTTAATGAATTATAATATGTTTTATCAAATTATCGCTTTAATAAGGAATAAAAGAAAAGGAAAATTGAATTTTCAAAACAGCAAATGATTTTTTTTAGTTACCATGTTTTTTTTTATTCAGAAACTTTTTTTAATTTAAAATCGTCAATAAATGGTGAATTTGATTTTTAGAAGAGATAATTAACACAATTAACATGCCAAAAGGAGCATTTGAATTTTTAATGTTGTTATGTTGTTACACATGGTTTTATTGGAAATATTAATCTATATACAATGTCTCGCTTTAAGTGGACATAAACAAGGAGTAAAAAGGAACAAAATTACATAAACAAACAAAGAAACCACATGGCAAATGCATATTAACACGAAAAGAACGCAAAGATAAAATTAAAGTAAAAAAAAAATATATGCAGAGAAGAATGAGGAGTAGTCTTTACACAGAGTTCATGTGATTTCTGGCTTCACAATAAATGAATTTTTAATGTAATTCTAATACTTGTTAAATTGCATATTATTTCTATTGCTTGCTTCTAAAATGAGTGTAAACTGAATTATAACTCCAAAAAATGCTCACAAGAGAAGGAAAAATTGGTAGAGAAGCATTTACGAAATAATTAGCCGTTAGCATTTCTTTCAATAAGTGCGAGAAAAAACAACTTTTTATTCTTCCAAAGATGTTTCTTAAAGTAATAGAAACAACACTTTCTAACAAAAACAAAATGGTTTTCTTGAAGTCAGCATTTAAAAAAAGCTTTAATTAGTTGAGAAGTTATAAAAGTCTACAGAGTAGCATTCGAAATTTGTTTTACAATGTATATGTTTAAACTGATATTTAGATTGAAGAATTCAATAAGAATTAAGCCATTTTTACAAACCCACTCTGATATGCAAATGGCAATCCCTGAAGGGTTACAACAGAAAAGAAAATTAGAATTTGAAACTGAACCTTATTTTAAATGGCTAATAAATCACGACGGTAGATGCATGCGTTCTTCCAATATACAAACGAGCAACACGAAGTAATTTGAAAGCCAGGCTCAGAAGTTCACCATCGACTGTATCGAGGGGGCTACGAGAGATATAAATCTAAACATCGATTGAAAAATATAGATTTTCGTTCAATCGATACTTACTTTGTTTCCATCACCAAGATTGAGGACGAGTTTGAACCTGCCCGCTTCAAGAGCAGCGGACAAAGATGTGGAGGACTTTTCGGACGACGTGGCAAATAGCAATCCACTGGGTCTGGTTGTCTTCATGCGTAGGCGTATGTCCTCTGCCTGAGTGGGCAATTCTGTCATTGTAATCTTCATATATTGTGTACCATCGAAACTTAGAGTAGTTGCATCTGAGATAGAAAAAAAATGTACAAATGTGAGAGTTTAGATAATGAATGGAATAAACCGTAAAATATTGTTCCTGATGATGATTCATATTCATAGCTTTTATTTCTCAAGCAGAATTGATGTTCTCTGTATTTGATTTGACAATTAAAGTAGTTTTACTTCACAAATTTGATGGTACGTAAATAAATAATAGATTATAAAGATTTATTATACTTTCTATATATTGCATGGTAAAATTTGGGATGGGAAAAAATTTACTCCAACGCATGCAACAGTAAAATATTGTTTCTGATGACAGAGTTGTTCATATTCCTGACCATTTTCTTATGTAAGTTTGATATCTTTAATATTTGACTTGAGGATTATAATAATTTCTTCCCCACAAATACGACATAACATATTTTTGTATATATACAGAGCTTAATCAGATACAATTAACTTAATGTATTTTGTCATTCGAACTTAGAGTCGCTACATTCGGGATGGAAAAATATGTACCAATAAATACATTAAAGGTCTAAATTTACACTTAAGCAAGTACGAAATGTATAATAAAAATAAAAAAAACGTATGGTCGAAACTGCCAGAATCTGGTAAAATTTAGCGTATTTGGGAACACCAAAAAGCTGAATAATTTTTAACGAAGTGCTTTGGTAATGGTTTTTGTAAAATTAATAGTCAAGTATGGTTTTATAATACGGGATTAAATTTGGAAAATGCGGTATAATTTGGTAATTTTATGATGGTACTTTAGACCATGGCATAAAAACCCCTTATTCGATTAAATTTACTTTTTAGTTTGGTATTTTTTACTAAATGTCTGGTAATAAGAACTATAATTTTGAAAACTGGAATTTCCAGTTATATACAAAGTTATATACTACTATATAAATGGAAAAATTAATACTGTATATTTTGGTTTTATCAATCAAAATTATGTTTTTTTTTTAATTTTTTTTAACTAAAAAATTTCATTAATTTACAGTATGGTAATTTTACCAATTTTTTTTTCTCCGTGTAAATTCTATTTTATTCTTACACGAATGAAGGCGGAATGAAAAATAAATTTCAAAACCTATTCGATTAACAGATATATTTCAAAGTTGTTACGAATATTCACCTTTCCGCTCCCCTGGGTTTCATCCGACAATTAGTTTTTAATTCTTCGTTTCCTATTAGTAATTAGTTTGATTTCAATAGATTTTTTTCATTTCTTCCTAATATATGTAAATTTTAGCTTCATATTTGTTAATGATTTTAAAAATATATATTAAGGGAAGTCATTATGGCACCTTAAGTGTATGGTATACACCGAAATTTGCTAATTTCATTTTCCTAAAAGAACTATATAATTAAAAGGAAGGTACCAGGAATCACACGTAAATGAAAAAAAAATTTCTTAAATTTACATACAATTTTCAAGTTCAAAATAATACCTAAATTTTTTTTTGCCCATTTTGAAGTAGTTAACAAGTTAGAGGTTGCTAAAATACAACTTTGAATGTAAATACGATGCTCCTATTTATTTAACGGTAACTGTTGTTTGGAACTGTTCCAGAAAAATATAGCTTTGATATTTTTCTTAAATAGTGAAGAAAGTTTGCGTTTCGATTTTAATACTTACATGATAAATTGCTATTTCAAACGCAAGCAATTTCGCTCCTAAATTCCCATTTTCTATTCAACTGCTGTTTTACTATTTCACAATGCATCAGATACATATCTCTTGCAGCAATTGCGTTTTTTTAAAAAAAATTTAAAATGAACAAAAAGGCACGAATTGAGTAATTCCTTTAAAAAAATTTATATAATTTAAGAAAAAATATATATGCCTATAATTTCCTTCCATATTTATTTCTAACTTCAGAATCTTTTTATCTATAAAAGCTTAGCTTGATTAAAAAATTTTATTGATAGTTTAGTTTTATTTTTCAAATGTGTGAAGCACATGAATATCTACAGAAAAAGTCACATTTCCTTAAGAAAAATCTTTTACTTTTATTCTGAATAAAAAGCTATGCAGCTTCGAGGCTTGTCTGATATAACACTTTCAGACGATCGAAAAAATTCATTGAACTGTCCTAGTTCTTATCGTCCTGCTTCATAAAATATCCTTAAGGGAAAAGTGGCTGTTTTACAATGATCAGTACTTGGAAGTTTCATTTGAAAATAAAGTTTATGAAAGTGCATTTAAAAATTATTTTTCTAGCTATCTGTCACTCAAATCATACAAATAATGCATGATTTAATTTTGGAAAGAATTAATGAAAGGAATATGCTTCAATACTTTCAAAGCAATTGTTTAGAAGTTTTTTGATAATTCTTTTTATCCATATTCTCAAAAGAATGTTAAGTAGATATAATGCAGCTTTTGTCTTTTTATATATATGATATTTTTAATATATATTTTTTATATATATTTTTTATATATATTTTTTATACGTAGAATATATATATGCGTACATGCACTTATTATATTAAAGCGTGTTGCTTGCTAATAAGTAATAATCTCTTTACATTTGAAAATAGAAAGAGTCACCATGGCAATGTTGAGTGTATAACTTTACATATTGGTTTGATGAGCAAAAACTATGAAACTTGAAAACTATGAGAATATTACAAACTGAACAACGTAATAGAAAAGATATGCATTCTGTAATTAGTTCATTAACTGTTGAACCTGCCGTAAAAAAATCTCTCACGGACAATTCCGCAGCCCACAGTTGGTCGTGACTGAAGTCGTATTCTTGGTCATAGATGGCGCAACTGAAAAAAAAAAGAAACGCATCCTCTGCCTTAAATTTGCTTGGTTTCACCAAGTAAGCTTGCTAGTATTGGTATTAGAAACAACGCAACATCAGTTGTTAGTTGAGACGAATAGTTGATAGTAGACAGTTGAAATTTGATGAGCTAGAAGAACATTTTTATTTGCTACGAGTTTTTTTTCCATTCCAGGTTTATCGAAAATTATTAAACATTCTCATTTCTTGCTTCAATGAGCATATACGATTTGTTTCAAAGAAAAGCAAGGACATTGGTTTATCTTTCGAGATTTTTATTTTATTTTAACTTGCTCTTCTTTAAAATTAAAATCAATAAAAGGAAGAAATATGTGTACTGTAAGACATTCCTGATCGAATTACGGTAAAAAGTATTAATGCTCAGGCTGCCGGTACTTTATTTCCGTAAAATCCATTCGTACCGGAACATGTTACGGAACAAAAAATTTGATCTATCATTGCAGTAAGAATTTACTTAAAACCACTGAGTCACTTTATTTAAATAAATATTACTGTGAAAATTACGGTATTATATTTTACGGTAAGATTGGATTTTACGGTAAATGGATTTTACGGATGATGAAACCAAAGGGACGGTTTTTTATACAGTAATTTCCAGAATAATAGAGTAATAGAGATTAAAAAATAATAGAGATATTTGTTTTCAAAACAATAATTTTGAGAATAAAAGTTCAATAAATTATTATGTTAAAAAAAGGCAAAAACTCCACGCTGTTGCCAAAATTTTTTCATTGGAGTGATAGTAAAATTAGAGTTCTGTTGCAGTCAAAAAGGCGAAAATTTATATGGTTTGTCACTCAACATGATGGATTGATGTAACTTAACTTCCTAAATGTTGTCACCGACAAGTGACCGAAGATGAAATGAGTTTGTCTAAGCATTTAGTTTATAGTTGAATTCTAAATTACATATGCGATGTGTCACATATAAAAAATAAACTACATTAAATGCAAGTTCTGGCATTAGAAGTATTTTAATAAAATATTTTCATTAACAGAATGTTTTTGGTTCATAAACGTAATTTATCAACAAAATTTCTTTGCTTAATAAGTATACTTAATTAACAAAATATTGCTTTTGAAAAGAAATCGATATTTTATGATTAAACAATGGTGAATGCAAAATCATGGGAGTGGGTGAGTGGACAGTCTTAGAAATTGCAAAATATTGATTAATTTTGTTTGAGAGCAAAGTATAAAAAAAACATGAATTCCATGCTTTTTTATTATTGCTCAATTTGATTTTTATTAGCTAAATAGTTTACTTTAAGTACAGTAGTAATATTGATACTCACGAATTATTATGCTAGTATTATTCAGGCAAATTACAATATGAGTATTCTAGTATAATTTAATAAATAATAATTTCATATTATATTAATACTATTATGTAAGTATTAAAGTAATATAAATGCTCGAGTATTGTAATCGAGTGTTGTTACTCAAATGTAAGTATTATTATGATATCATTAAAATCAGTCATTAGCCATAAGTATAAAGCATATAAAAACGTTAATTACATGAAAAAGTAGTTTATTTTAAAAGAAATATTCCAGGACATATTCCAAAAGAAGATAATCTTTTTGATTATCATTCAATCATTTCAATTTGATTAATTGTTGGTTGATTTTGTTAAAAAATGCATTCTTATTTTTAATTTACAATGTTTGACAATTTTTAAAAAAAAAATGCATTTAAATTTGTATGCCGAGTAATTATTAATATTGTTTTTAAAATGAATAAGCTATTTAGTTTTATTTAGAAAAAAGTTTAATTATTAAATCAAATTTCTAATTGTTAATTTATAACTAAAATTTAGTTTTAGTACGCTAAATTAATTTTTTTTTGTATACATTTGTTTTTGTTTGTGGGGAATTATTTTCTTTCATGTATTTTTTCCAGTAACTTTCATTCCAAAAATTAAAATTTCACTTAGGAAAACGACAAAAATTTTAAATAAAAAACTTTTAATTTATAAAAGATACAAATTATATGTTTCCTTAATTAATAAAAACGAAAAATGCTCACTTAAATGAAAAAATAGTTATGATTTTCAGTGAATTACTTTAAGAAGGAATAAAAACTAAACACTTATAGTTCGTTTAGATACATAAAAAAATTAAAGATTAGCATTAAATATTGTATTTTGATAAGTTTTTACGTTTGCTTTTATAATTATCATTAAATTAAGGAAAAGAGATAAAAATTCAAATATCATATAAAAATATTTTTTGGACGTTTATAAGTTTAAGGTTTTAAGTTTAGTTTTTACATACAAAATTTACACTATTTATTAATTATCTTTTGACGCATATTTTTTCATTCACTACTAAAAGTGACTCGATTGCTTAAAAAAGCTAGTTTATATGACTAAAATATTTTTTAATCGATATTTTATAAGTTCTTCGAAGTTATGAACTATTTTAAATAATATTATGCAGTACATACTACTTTCTTTAGAGTTTCATGCACATTTCTATAGAGTTTGCTAAGGTTGCAAACCAGCATGAATTTTATATGTTGCTACAGAAACAAAAATATTTTGTAAAATTATTAAGTCAAATTAAGTTGATTTTAAGTCTAAACAAATATTAGTTTGTACATTATATACTAGAACTTCAAAAAAGTATGATTAGCACTGATATGATGTTGTTTGTTCTTAAAATTTTCAAAAGATAAGATAATTTCAAAGCTTACGATGTGCAGTAAGGTAAAAATTAAAAAAAAAATATTGTAAGAAAATTAGAAAAAAGCAGGAATTAATTAAAAGGCTCAATGGAAGCTGATGTAAATGGGAAATAGGACTATACTAAACATACCAAAGGTAGGAATAAGAAATTTGTTTGATTATTTGCCCATAAATTTTATATAATACTGAAATGTAATGTTCTTTGATGAAAGTGATAATTGAACAGCTATTTTGTTTAATAATTTCAATCTTTATTTTCTTTGTATTTTTAAATGATTTTTCAAATCCGTTGTAAAAAAAGTTTCTGTTAATGCAAAAAAGAAAAAAATGGTTTCTAGAACAATAAGCAGAATATGTTTATAATAAAATAATATATTTGTAATAATTAAATCAGCATAATGTATTTTAAATCAAAAATATTTGTATCCTTTAAAAAGCTTTGTATCACTCTGATGAACACGATTTAAGGCAATTTGAAAGGAAGCATCTGAAGGGGGTTAATTTCAAGGCAAATATATACTGGAAGTTAAAATTTTCAGCAATCAACTAATGAGGGTTAATTTTCGACGACTATAATGGTCTGTTGACGACATAGAGATTAATTTTAAGACATACATCCGATTAAAGTTAATTTTAAAGTTAACTCCCACCTGATGGAAGTTAATTTTATCTTTTCTTTAATGGATTTTTAAAATACATACCTGATGGAGATTAATTTTAAGACGCGTGTCTTGTTAACTTTAAAGTGAGTGATTGAGGTTAAGTTTAAAGTTATGGATGTTATTTAATATTCTAGCATTTCTTTTTTGGAAATGAATGGACCTTTAGAACACGCATCTGATGGAGTTCAAATTTAAGGTTCACACCTCATAGCAGTTAACTTTAAAGCACGTATCCGATGGAGATTGACGTTAGGGCGTTAGAGATAGAGATTAACTTTAAGGCACATGTTCATCATGAAGAGGACGTCCGTCCGATGAAGAAAAACTCCAAAAGCACAATTAACGAAGAACAAAAAAATTTTTACCTTTTGCACACACTGTTCCAGAGAAGCTCGTATGAGAACAATCACACGTGAAATGATTCCATCCTTCTAAGCAGAGTCCATTATTCAAACAAGGTTGACTGTCACATTGCGGAGTCGGAGTATGGCATGCTGGTCGGATACTTCCTGAGTCCTGCTTTTGGCTTACTTCAGCAATGTCAACAGCTCGTCCGTTTATGACTAAATCTTTCATGCATCCAACATAGCCGTATCGAAGACTTCCGGACCATAATTCACTGGGTATCAGGACACCCTGAGCGCTGGTTCCAACTCCACCCACATAAAGTGGACCCTCAAGATCCAGTTGATTGGAGTTTCCTGATGAAAATATGGGAGAGGATAATTAAGTTGGAAGTTTTACAGTTAAAGTTTAAAGTTTGAGGTAAATTAATCACCTGGTGTAATAAAATCAACAGCGGATTCATCTACAGTCACTCTTCCAGATTTTCCTGATCTTTTTAAGGAAACTGAATGCCACTGACCATCATCCACTCTCCTTGTTGTAGCTTTGACCTATTGCACCAAGAGGAATTAAGTTTATAATTCTTTAAGGAGGTTCTAATCATCCTTATTGAAATAATTATTAAACTACTTAAAATTGAAAATTTTAATTTGATTTGTTTTCACGTGGAAGAACAAATTTTGCAGTCACCTTTCCCAGAACTACATTAAAATTAAACTTTTCAAATTTATGTTAAGCAGATATTACAAAAATGACCATTTATTATTTTCAAAAATATCTCGAATTGAGAAATTTTCATAAAAAAGTCATTACATGCGAGAAAAAGTGGAATTTTTTAAAATGGAGCATTTTGCTTTATTTTTTCTTTTTTTTAACTAATTAATTAACTTATATTTAACTGAAATATCTATAATAATTTCATTAGTTATAATCAGGGTAATATCCTGAGATAGAAATGTGAAAATTGATTTTGAACTTAAATTCTCGTTGTAGGGGGAAACAAGAGAATTCTCTTCCTTGTTAAACTTTGCCATCCTTCCTAGTTATTCTTAGTTAAACTTCTAAAAGTTCTACTTTGTAAAAAGTGATCCAACAAGAATAATTTTTTATTTTACTAAATTTAATAAAAATGTGAGCATAAATAGAAACTTTACTGAAGTTTACAATATTAAAAACTAAAAAAAGTTGTTAAAAATATTCCTGTTTTTTTTTATTATTTTTTTTTTATCGAAACACGTATTAATCGCAGTCAACAGGGTTCTACTGTAACTATCGCAGACAACAAACAGTCCCTTATATAACAAAACTGGCTCAGATTAATGTGTGATGAATTGTTTTATAACTGTTAAATTTAGTTCAAATTTGGACTTTTTATGTTTAACATTTTTGAATAAATTAATAGCATATAATTTAAAAATTGCAAAGTAGTCTTAGTATCTTATCAATGGATATTAATGTATTCAGTGTTAAAGAAGTATATAACATAAAGAGATATAGAAAAAAAATATGCATATATATCACGGGAAAAGTAACTGTCAACATTCGAGCATTCCAAGACGAACCGTTCGAGCGTTCTGCGCGAAAAACGAAATGAAATTTTTTGTTGGTTGTAATTGGTGTGATACGGTTATGTAGTGCCAAATATTCTAATATAGGTATAAAGTATTATAGTAATATATTTGGTTATTTTATCTTCACCAATATTGAGCAGTTTCAATAAAGATACAGTTGAAATAAGTATCTTATGTACCCACGAAAAGGGTATGTATCAGAAATTTTTTTTTTTTAATAGTGGTAAATTTTGATTATCATCAGCTGGCCACGAACAATAGCATCAAATGCCAAATGGTACAGTTTACCTTTCTAATGGGGAAAAAATTTAAATTATTTTAGCTTTAATTATGTCGGTATTTAGCTTTAATAATTATACTGTTCTTCAGCACTGTTTTATCGATTTTTTTCTTTTTTTTATCCACCCTATGGACTGGGAATTAAGCTAGTAAATTTAATTGAATGGAATCTAACATTTAAAATTTAAAACTTTTAAAATCAATAGTATTATCAGGAAGGAATTTTGTAGGGGAGAGTGGGGTCAATTGTAACAGGGTACGATTGTAACAGAGCAAAAATTTCGAGTGTCGGGTTCTAGATTTGGTTCCTAGGTGGCGCACAAGGTGCATTTAATAAATCTACATGTACACCCCTACAGGCAGCCATTTTTATGTACTTTTGAAAGAGTTACATCACAAAAGATATTTTCACGCTACGTAAGTACTTTGTTTGGTATTAGAATATAATATGGTAACAAAGTAATTTTGTTTAAACAAATGAAAATTATTAATCGAATATGTAAGTGGACACCTTAATTAACATTTCAATAAAAAAAATAGTTTTGTTAATTAACTAGCATTGTTTTTAACAAATGAAGCTGAAATGGCGTCTTGTGGACGATTGTAACAATAAGTAAAGGAACGATATTGTAACAGCTGAAAATAAATAATCTTATGCTTACAAACCATTACTTAACTCTTCAAGAACCACCAATAGTTTCCTATATCATTTATATTATGTTGCATGTGTATTATTTTATTTGTCACCTTTCACAGCATAAATTAAAATTTTTAACCCCTTAAAGTTAAAAGTTTAGCCCTTTAGGTCTCTGCTCATTATTATTTTTACTCCTAAAATATCACTACTATTTTGATCAATAAAAAAATATATCGCAACTATGATAATATGTATAATTAATGTTTTAGTTGAATTTATGAACTGTTATAATTGACCCCGTAGGTGGGGACAATTGTAACAAGTGCACGACTGTCAAAAATTGTTAATAACTAATATAATAGCATTTAAAATAAGGTATTTTTTTTTTCTAGTCAAGGATAGTCTACTTTACTCGTCTGTCAATTAATACTAATAATATATTATATTTCTTGTTAGTTAAAAATAGTTAAGTAAAAAATGTTACAATTGACCCCACTCTCCCCTACTGATAAATGCTAAAAAAGGTTGTAACTATTATTTACCTTAACAGCTCCAGAGCCTAAGTTGAGCAATAGAAAAACGTGTCCATCAAGTAATTCAAAGGCAAAGAAATCTCCTTGAGCAGTTGTACCCGTGTTGTACATAAGCACTCCGTTAGCTTCATTAGTTCTTAATTTAAATGCGATGCTTCCACTTCTAGCAGCATCCCAGCTAGGTAAGGCCTAAATAAAGTAAAATGAAGCAGCTGAGTTCGAGTTGTTGTACAGTTAGATAAAAAAAAACAGTTGTTTAAGGCTTGCTAATAAGATACTGCATCAAATATGATATTAGAACATAAAGTTCCAACATCATATACAAGTTGCTCAGATGCAAGTTGAGGTGAAATATCCAAGTTTGTAAAAACAAGAATTCTATTCGCTTCACTATTTCTAAATTTAAATCAAAACTTTTACTTTTAGAATCATCTGAACTTGTTAAAGTCCAAGCAAAATATAAAGAAGTAGTGGAATTTTAATGTCATTGTTAAGACGTTTCTCTTATTAGTAATCGGATCAAATAATATGATGGTTCAACACTACATGTGATTGCCAAAACTACACTGTAAAAAATTTTCGATCAAATTACTGAGCAAAAATCTGATACACCGTAATTTGTACAGTAATTACCGTAAAAACATTGAATCACTCTAAATAAATAAATATTAATGCAAAAACTACGGTGAAATATTGTAAGGTGAAAATGGTTTTTACGGTGAAATGGATTTTGCAGTTACATTGATTTTACGGTCGACGCATCCAAAGCGCCAATATTTTTTAACCGGAATTCTATCCGGAATTTTTTACAATGTAGAATAAAAAAAATAATTGTAATTGCAAAGGTTGAGATAAAATTATGTAAGTAATTTTTTCCTTCATTGGAATGGAAAATAAGTTGTTGAAAAAATCTGTTAAATGTAACTAGAAAAAATATTTCCTTTTATTTTGCTTATGATATATAGCAAAAACCTATAAATACGTTTTATTTTCTTTAAATTTCGAAAATATTTAAATGAAAAAGGCTTAAGAAGTAATAAGACCTATGTCGGAGGAATTGATTGTGATTAAGAGTAATTATTAAAGCACACCCTAACAAGTTTACCTTTATACAATCTTACATCTTTAAGCCAAAACAATTATAAAGTAATGCAGGAATTATCTGCAAATTACTAATCAAAGCAGTAAACAAATATTCAGGAAATTATGCAAAGGTAATAAAATAAGATGCCCTTAACGACTTTTAAACATTAACCCTGGCTTCTTTACGACTTACCGCACTGTTCTCACATTTTCACGATTCCCAAGTTATTAATTATAAACGGCAAGGCACTAAGTCAATCTGTTATTAATTTGAGCGATAAGTTATTCTCTTAAATTTATTGTCAGTGAATGATGACGGAAATTACTCAATAAAATATGAATCGTTCGGGAAATTGATACTCAATTCCCTAATCCAATTTATTTCAGGATTTCCAGCCGGAAATTGCAACCGTTGAAAACTTCACACCTTGTAACTTTTTAGTTAATATAATTAATACGAAGTCTTTCCTAAAATCTCTTTGTTATATAAACTCCATTTCATGATACGTTTGATGATATCATTTAATTCATTTAAATCTTGAATTTAACAGTATTGAAAAGAGTAAAGATATATATTTCATTAGTTATNTATATATATATAGTTTTAATTTGAATATATTTTTAATTTGAAATGAAGACAAAACGATATATGTTATGAATTTTATTCTTTTATTTCAGATATTAGCATATGGCATATTAGCTTTAAATGCAAATGAACACTTGTGAAAAATTTTTCAAAATTAATCTCCTAAAACTTCTTAAAAATTAATCTAAAAATTTCATTTCTCCAATTTTGTTCATTTTCCATACATTTTCTAATATTACAGCAAATGTACGCATAATTTTGAGTTTATTGGTGGTACTAATCATTTAACCAGTCATCTCAGTTAATTTAATTCATGTTTCTGTAGCATTCTCTGTAGAAATTCTTCAGTTACCGTTTCTATTTGCAAAAAATATGGTCCAGATACCCTTCCAAACCAGAAGCCATACCAAATTATTAATCTTTGTAGATGAGCATGAAATGCATTCGGAACAGAATAATAATTTTTGTAATGCATTTAAATAGTTTTTATGTGCTTTGACTCTGCGCATCTTTCCACGTTGAATTGTCAAAACAATGTTGAACACAAATATCAATTTTACCAATCGTATGGTTATTTTGGCGTTTTAAAAATATATTGTACCAATATGATCACTCTTTATAAGATTTAGTCTGTATATTGATTCTTTTGAGAATCATGACATTTCTTATTAGTTTTCTACTAAATAATACATCTATTTCTTATGCTCATTTATTTAAACTAAAGAATGTTATTATTCTTGAAAGTCTATTAATTTATAAATAGTAAATATTACACTGAGATAAAATTATGATCAAAACTACCAGAATATCATAAAATTTACAGTGTTTTCGGCTCTATGAAGAAAACCAAAAAACCAAAAATTTTTTACAGAAGCACTTTGGTAATTGATTGGTAATGATTTTATTGTTGATGAAACAACAATAAAATACGGTTTTATTGCATATGAAAAAATTTAGTAAATATGGTAAAATTTGGTAATTTTATCATGATATCTTAGAGCATGGCATTAAAAAATTTATTCGGTAAAATTTGCTTTATAGTTTTGAATTTTTTTATTATATGTTTGGTAATAAGAACTCTAATTTTGAAAACCAGAATTTCCGGTAAACCGTAAAAAATTTACCAAATAAATGATTTAAATAATTTATACTTTGGGTTTTATTACCGGAATTATGATTTTTCTTACCAGAAATGTCAGTACCATACAGAACGGTAATTTTACAAGAATGTTTTTTCGGTGTAATAATAATGTGTAGTATAACCAAAACGTCTGCACGTAATGTAAATTAATAACCTGGATTTCAAAATATCAATATAATGCTATATCTTAAAGTTATATAATGCAAGATAATGAATTTTATGTATGACAAATCACTCATCATAGATAACTGTATCCTTTCACTGTAGTTGAGTATAGAAATATTGTTTTTATTATTTTTTTATTTTTTAGTACAATGGTATGCAAAGTTTGATGAATGTCTTTTAAAAATCACTATTATAAAAACCTTTGCATTTATAAATTATCGACATTTTTATATCTTTGACTTTACTAACTTTTGTAATAAAATTTTTCTTTTAATACAAAGATTTGATTAAATTATTGTACCTTGTAAAATTCCAGATCAAATTATGGTATAAAATTACGGTAAGTCAGATATTTTGAAAAATAACATGTTCTGGTAAAAAGGGATTTTAGAATTAAAAGTACCCTGCAAAAGTAAATCTGAATACCGGTACTTTTCCCCGTAATTTGATCCGGAATGTACTTGAAAATATTGATAATTTTAAAACGCAAATTAGCATTTCAAAGCCCCTTGTTCGAGTTAAGTTTGTTTTCAATCAGACTATAAAGTTTAAGTTACAAAAATGCAGTTTTATTATATTAAAGAAAAAAAAATTGTATTGAAATCCCTTGATGAAACTCCATTAATATTTATTAAATAAAAGAAAATCAAATAACATGGATTTGATTATGACTGTATTAATCCTACCGAAGTATAAAATCAATTTTATTACGTTAAACCAAAAACAAAGCAAATATAATGGGAAAATAACTAAATAAAAAATGGACTAAAATGTCCCGAAAAAATATATGAAAATATATAGCTGAATCCAATGCGATAAAACGAAATACTATCAAAGCGAACAAAATAGAACATCATCGAAATTACTGTAATCAAATGGTCTATTATAGAATAAAATCGAACAGAATGATGTATAGTATGATAGAATATAATCGAATGACTTATGTCGGAACTTAACCCAGTCGAATTGTTTTAATATTAAAAAGAATTAAACGTAATCTCATAAGCTTTTATGGAATTTCTTTTGAATTTTCCTGTATTTATATTTTTTAGCTAGTTGTTTCGTAGCATCTGCAATATTTAATAACAATTCACTGTCAATTTTTTTCCAAAACAATTATTTTTACATTGATTTAACAAAATAAGCTATTTTTTAATTATAGAAAATACCTTGTATTCTGAATAGAATATGTATTTTATCTTGCAACAAATAAATTAAAAAGTTAATTTTATTCAGTAAATTAAGGTCTTTTTGTCCTATTACAGATTTTGCTTAATAAAGTATTTTTTAGTTATATTTAAAACTGTAATTCATTAAACTAATTGCCTTTTTTGGAATTCTTTAATCTAATACAGTAGATTTTGAACAAATTTCTGTATCTATAAAAATAAAAATATCTATAATATCTATATATAATGAGACAAATATCTGAAATAGGCTCGCATTTATTATTTATTAGGGGAAACTAAACTACTACATTTGTAATCAAATAGTTTGTAAAGTTAGGAAAGATTTGTTGCAAAATTAAACTTAATTAATTACAACAATTGTAAGATTACGTTTTTGATATATTATCGAATCAAATTTAATCTAATATAATATTCTCAGATTTTTACTTAATTTCATTGAAAAAAGTGCACTTTTCTGTAAAAACTTTTGAAACATCTATATTTAAATACAATTCAAATTCTTAAATTCATGTTAAATATTTAATAAATTCACCTGATAAAATCTGTAAATCTTTTAAACTGTACTAATCAAGTATTATTAATGTTATATTGGTTTATTTCTACAAATTTAGGTATTTTAAAACAGCGAATTATTTTTCTTTTAACTTTTGAGAATTTTTTCTAGTGAAGGATTCTTTTAGTTGCATTTAAATTAAAAGATATTCAAGCGTAAAAAGCCAAATTACAATTCACTTAAATAGCATAGTACTTTCTAAACAAATGCATCCCAAAAATTTGCTATAGGATGAAGTTGAAATCATTACGTTTGTAACCAGTTTATTAAGTAGAAACGACTTATAACAAGTCGTACACTGAAAGAAATTCCAGATCAAACTGCAGTATGAAGTGCCAATATTTTGAATTCATTATTCATAAAATCTATTTTATCATAAAATCCATTTTTACCGAAAAATATTATACCATAATTTTTATAGTTCTGTTTATTACTGTAAAAATTACGATATATCAGATACTTTGTTCAGTA